CTGTTTGCTTTCTGTTCATGAGCCATAGGCAGAGAGAGAATTCAGCAGTACCATCTGGACTGTGCTCTTTTTCTTCTGAGATATGGTCGAACCTTTTCCCTCCCTACCCACGCTTATATCTGAGACACAGGTGAATGAAAATAAATATCCACTACCTTCCCACCTAGCTTAGCTTTCAGTTTCAGCATGTCAGGCACTGTTAGAGGCAAATCCAACTATTGACCCAAATAAGTATAAAGGGGAAGCCTTCTTGAGTACAAGAGGAAGTACTTCGGGCTGCGTATGTATGACAGCGTCCACTCTGCAGACATTCAGGCCAAAGTGCAAATGATGGAAACCGAGCCTATGGGATGAAACATGGGGCCATCAACACAGCTGATGAACTTAATTCCTGAAGATCTCTTACCTAAATTAGAAGTAGAGCTGAAATAAATAAAACCTTTTCCAACTGAAAATTATCACAGGGTTCAGTCCCTTAATGAGTCTGAGAGAATTGTTATTTATGTAGTTCATCAGTAACTGATGCCCACTAAGTTTTTTCACCCTGCTCTTTATATTTCTTGCAGCTTAATTTTACAGGGAGAATCTTCTTCTTAACCTATTCTTCTTATGAGCTGATAGAAACAACTATCTGCCCCAGATAAATTAAATAGCGATTATTTATTTCCTTTGAATTAAGATAAACTGATAGGATAATCTTTACCTGCTTATTCTGGGGTATGAAGATTCTGTTATAGGTACAAGGACTGTTATAGCTACTGTTACAGATATAGCAAGTGGAACAAAAGGTGAAAAGCCTTGGAATGAACAGCATGTTAAATAAACTTGTATGAACTTGGATAACTGACAAGGATACAGCTATCATTAACAAGTATAAAAAATTTAATTTGAATAGTGGGTGACTTACCATCTGCTTTGCAAATGTATTATATTCATCTTATAGGTAGCGTTAAGAGATTACTTTGAAATAATAATTTGGTTTTGAGGCAATCTCCAGCTATGTTCAAACCTTGTCTTTTTAAGCTCATAAAAGACTTGATTAGGAGTTCTATTCTTCTTACACAGAGTTTAGAAGTTTTCATTTACCCTAAGCCACAGGCATCCTCATGGGCATCAAAAAAGTTGATGGCCACAACTGTGTGATCAAAGTCCTGTTCTGTTTTTACATGTGATGGATTTTAAAAAGGGATATGTTTGCAATTTTGCCATCTTGACTTTTTGACCTCCTCCTCCAGAGAGCCCTGGTTTGAACATTTATAACTGTACTAGGATGGATTTGACTTCTTCAGTTTTCAAATAAATTGTTCCAGAGTCATTCCACAGGATAATTGGGCCAGAGGTAGACCAAAAATAGTTACTGTTGTAACATTGTGACTTGGTTCACACATTAAACTAAACCATGATCTTTAACTATGTTTGTTGAATAGCCACAGTTGGTTGTCTGCACATAAAACACTAAGATGTAAACCATGGCTTACAAACAACAATATTTACTCCCAACATGCCATCTAGGTTTACAACATTCCAACAAACCATGTCATGGCTTAAAGCAAGAAGTCACACTATATTTATAAAAGGGCAGGCTTTCAAGATTCTGTTACTATACCTTAAACAATTTCCTAATAAAGTTTATTAATTTAAGCTCAGCAAAAATTGTTCTTCGGCTGTTCTTTTTCAGTCCTGATTGTTGTTAGGGCAATCTGACAACAGATTTGTGTCAAAGATGCTCCATGGAGTAAAAGGTAGGATTGGACTCCTTCCAATGCTATGATTCTATATTATTAAAATTGCCTGTCAAACATGCATTTACTTATGAGTGTTGTGCCAATTACAATAAAAAGAAGTTACTGTTTTAGGCATGGCAAGTGCTTCTCTTGTTTTACTTAAGGATTTAGAGCCTACAGATTGCTGGTGGTAAATTTATTAGTGTTATATAACACAGCCACATCACTGGAATATTCTGGGACATTTGCCATTGCCCCTAATGGATGCTTGATGAATTGCTCAGCTCTTTTAAGTCATTCTCTTTTTAAAGATTGGGTCCTGCATGGCCTCAAACTACTGCATGCACACAAATAAAATATGCAGATGCATAATATCCAGGGGTAGGAGCAAAGATGCAGCATTTTCCATCATGTGACTGAGAAGGATCCAGATCCTCCAAAACACTTTGTAACTGCTTACCCAACCACTTTCTCAGTAACTCTTCCCAAAAGTGGCAGTTGGAGATAAAAAAGTGAAGGGTGATGATTGTCTGGTATAGGTGGTATAGGGATGGCCTTTTAAGTAGAGGGTGTATCAGTGCCTCTTTCAAGGCTGGTAGTATTTACCCTGCCTACAAAGAGATGGACCCAGCTATTCCTCTCCTCTCTGGTAGTTTATGCCAGTGAGATGAGGCAAAGATCAAGCCCACAGGTGGCAGAAATCATCTTACAAACCACTCTTCCCAATTCACTGAGATAAACAGACTCAGACACATCCCAGATGATATTGCAAGATATCACCTGATCATCTCTTCAGACTCAAGTCACCGGCCTCCTCAAAAGATCATAGCAGACTACTATGTCTTCTTCTGGACTATCCTTCCTCTAGAAAGCAGTCTGTGGATGCAATAAAAGCAGAGAAATACCAACACTTCACCACTCTTACTACCATGCTGTCAACTCAAATCTGGATGCAGACCTGGCAGCCCTTTGAAGTAGGCAAAGTCAAGAGACGGGCACAGCAGAGAGTCTGGGGATGCTCTTTATTGTTGAAGGTAGAATAACAACATCTTGACAGCTTCTCAGAGTTTCTCTCTGCCCTATCTTATACCAACAAAATCAAGGTGGGGTTATTTTGAGTTGCTTTCTAAGCCAGACTCAGTAATCTTTTATTAAAGTCTCTCCCCCCCCCCCACATACACAATATCCCAATGGTTTGCTCATTTCTTCTGCATTTCCAAGGCCAGCTCTACATTGCCTCACAGTACCCATGTCACCATACTCATGCCTTGGGGTTTTTTTGCTGGTTTGCTCTGGGTTTCTTTTGTTTCTTCCACTCCTGGAGCTCCTCAGTATACAGAGGAGTGCCCTGGATCAGCAAACAGGAAAAGACTGCTTGGGGGCAATTCCATCCAGCAGGTTTATCCCCTCTGCATTCCAGAAGTTGATTGGAGGCTCCACCAAACTGCCTTTGAAATCACCAGAGAACTCCCCCAGCATCCTCTAAAAACCCCATGGATCCATAAGGCACCTGGGGTAGGCTCTCCTAATGGGTCTTTCCTCCCTGTGATGAAAGTGATGGGTTGTAAGATATTAGGAGATAAGGGTAGGTTGCTTTTGTTTAGGGGGAGGGGGGTTGAGTCCATGGACATATCTAGAATTCTGAGAGTGTTCTGCAGTCCATTTTACAAAATGACTCTTACGGAAATAGTTAATCTGTTCATAAAATGTTCTATGCCAGGTATGGCCAGTTCCAAAGCATTAAGGTTACTGTATATGGTCTGCAAACATCCAGATGACTTCTAGATGAAAACAAACAGGTAGAGGAAAAACATAGTCTTAGTTGCTCATTACGGTTCTCCATTGTGTATGGACACGCAAAATACACTAGGCTGCCTCCATCCATCACTTTTAGTTTCTAAATATACTTAGGGTGACCTAAATATTAGGCTGGAGGTCTTCTAATTTTTTCTTTTTAATAATTTTTATTGAATACATTTTTCAACATAATTAAAAATAGTGCCATTTTGAATTAAGGAAGAATAAAGAAAAGTAATAAGAAAGAAATAGAAAAAGAAACAGGGGAAAAAAAGGAAAAGAAAGATTCTAAAGAAGCAACTTCTGATCTTCTTGACAGCTGTTATAGATACATTTATAATTTACCCTCTCCCTCTAAGGTTACATCATAATTTCCTTCTTTCCATAAGCTACTCTTTCTAATCTTCAAACCCATAAATCACACGTTCATGTTTCTCTTTTTTCAGCAAAAGTCCACAAGGGGTTTCCAGTCACTAATAAGAGGTTTTTAAATTTTCATGCCAATAAAAAAAATGATGGGCTTATCTGAGGGTCACAATCTAGAAAGACAAGATACACTGGTAAAGAGAAATGAATGGAAAAAATGAGACATCCATTCTTTTATGCTTGGAAATAATGTGCTGCATGTTTAGTTTAGTCCAGGTTGATCTTCTCTCGCAGTTATTCTTGTGTTGAGAGCAGTTCGTTTCGCAGCTCTTGTTGAAGTATGTCAGTGTTGTCCAAACTTGGCTACTTTAAGATGAGTGGACTTCAACTCCCAGAATTTCCCCCCCCTCCAGCGGGGGGGGGCGGAAGACCGGGGGTGGAAAGTCCCACACTTCTAAAAGACGCCCAAGATGAACAAAAAAAAAAACACAACAAA